AGAAGAAATGATGGCCCAGGTGCGCGAGAAGAAGCGCGAACTCATGCGCGAGCTCGTGCGTGTTAGGGGGCTGAGGCAGAATGTTAGAGAAAACGCGCGAAGTTATGCGCCAAAAAGGTTAAGTGCGCGAAGCTCGCGCGTTTCCCAGTCCGGAAAAGAATTATTCAGGGGAAAAATTGGAAATCTGGAGAGAAACCCACTTAACCTTGATAAAGTCAAGCTCTCCCAAGGTTAATTTATCAAGTTTTTTATAGGCTAGTGCAAGGTATCAAGAGGCAAGAGGAGGAGGAAGTTTTTGAGAGGAAAACACAAGCACAGAGCCGCCGTGGAGGCCGGTTTTCATCTTTTCTTCCACCAACTTAGCCTTTTTATGTTTCTTTGTATGATTTGTTGTTTTGCTACCATGTCTATGTGGAGCTAAACTTCACGTTCTAGGGTTGTGGTTCTTTCATGACTATTGTTATTCGGATATTGATTTTGATTTCTTAGTTTATCATATTGGTTTATTTATTCAATCCTGCACTTAATTATTTGATTGCTTGATCACCAATTGAATACTATCTATGAATCTAGAGTTGAACTCGAAAGTGGGAATTCTAGATTGCATATAGGATTGAGTAGAGCAAGTTCTTGAACCTGGGCCTCGGGGAACGGATTCGCGGTTAGGATAGACATATACCTAATTGCCTTGCTTGGTTGATTTACAGGAATTATAAATGCGTTCTTGTTGATTCTAATTCCATAGACATATAGGAGTTAGGTTAGCTTGAATAGGCGAGTAAGAACTCGACAGATTCTTAGGAGCAATATTAACCCTGTCAACCAATAAACTAGATAAATTAGTTAGTTAATTCAATTGAAGAATACAATAGGAATGTTAGATAGCCCATAACCCTAGATCGTTTTCATTACATTGATATCATAAAAATCTGCTCTTTCTCCGTCCAAAGTTCATTATTTGTTTTTATTTATTTTAATTAGTTTAGAATCAAATACTTCCTGGTTTAATTCTTCTATAGATAATTAGGATAGTCTAATTTAGTTAATAGTTGATCATAAGTCCTCGTGGGTTCGACATCCGACTTTTAGTCACTTTATTACTTGACGACTGCGTGCACTTGCGTGAGTGCGTTTGGCCGCAACAAGTTTTTGGCGCCGTTGCAGGGGACTTAGAAATTAACTATTTTTCTAGATTAGACTTTAAATTTTATCCTTTTTTGTATATACTTTTATTTTTATAAATATTTGATATTTTTCTCTTAGTGTGTTCCTAGTTCTCTCAGCATGACATCTTGGGATGAAATATACGGAGGTAAGGCTATTTATGAAGACTCTTGGTTGACAAAAGACTTTTATGGCTCGTATTTTTGGTCTTGTCATGGCCTGACTTCTTGGAGGTCTGAATTTGAATATGGGAGTAAGGGTTGGTATTGGGAAGAATATTCTCGATTAGGCGAATATGCGAAACGACGTTGTCTTCTAACAACGTTGGTAAATGATTGGTCTAAGGAGAGAGATGAACTTGCACATAAAATTGATAATTTTGGCTTGGCTGTACATAACTTAGATGTAGATTTGAGTGCAAAGGTTGATGCGTGTAATGCCCAACAATTTAATAATGAGTTGTGTGAAGCTGAAAAAAATCTTTTAGACCAAATTGAGGAGCTAAAACGAGAATACCAACCACTAGACCATGTTTTTCTTGATGATGCCAACATTGAGAAGAGTGCTCTAGAGTCATTTGAGGGAGTAGATAACATTACTTTGGGAGACTTGAGTGTGTGTAAATATGGGAATGCAAATAGTAGTAAAATTCATGAGTTAGGGCGCATTAGACCTCATTCCAATCATTTTTCCACATTGTGTTTAGATAGTAAGATAGTAATCGAGCCATCTGAGCCAATGAGGGGGTCAAAGAGTGAGGACGAGAGTGCCTATATTCTTGAATTTGTTGTGCCAAAGAGCAAAAATTACATCCCTCATCTAAAGGCCGAGAGGTGCAGAGTGAAAATTTTATTACTTGGCCTGGTTATCTTTGTAGCCCCACCAAAGGTGCATAGCCAGAGACTGGATGCCATGTTAGGGGTACAATTCATAAGTTCAAGGTGGAGACAAAAATTGGTTCAAGTCGTGCCGCGACGTTAAATTAGGCGCTTGTTGGGAGGCAACCCAGCTTTACTGCTTTCTTTTATTTATGTATATTTTATTATTTTTATTATTTTTGTAGTGTTGTTTTATTTTGTAGGATTTTGAGCATAGGGAGCAAAGCCACAGGAAGTGTGCAAAAGCGAGCATGTGTTTGAAACTGAGTGTGAGGTATCCGCACAAGGGATCATACGTGGGAGAAGTCGGAGTATCCCGTGAGCTGCTAATTCTTCGGCCTTTGGCCTACCAGGGAATCTCTTTTACCCTCTTATTATTTATAGTGTGCATTGAGGACATTGCACAATTTTAAGTGTGGGGTGAGGAGATTGTCTGAGTGACTTTCTATGCTATTTTAGTTGTGTTAGTTTAATTGAATATTTTTTTTTAGAAAAACGAAAAAAAAAAGTAGACTCTTCCTGATGACGGATCTTTTAGACGATTTTCTTGAGGGAAGTTAGTCTAAGAAAAACACCAAAAAGATTTTTGTTTAGGTAGTGTAGCAACTTCCCCTTGGTTTTTCTTTATACCATGGTTCTTTTCCAAGGGTTTAACTTGAACCGGGTGTAGGTAGTTTTTATTTTTACTTTTTATTTGTAGATTAGGTTAATGGGCTACGAGCTAGAAAATTCAAAAGAGAACCCATAGCGTTAACACACCTGAACACAATAGACCCTAGAGTGTAACGCTTAGTCTTGTTTGTTGAATCTCAATGAAGTGCCTTATGTTTGACTGAATTGAATGCTCGTAATGGAGTATCTTGATGAGCTGATCTAAAACGAGTCATGTGCCATGAGTGGTGAGGTTTTGTGTAGTCCATGTTGTGTACTTGCGTCTAGAACTTGCCCGGTATGTGAGTTGAAGCGAAATTTTAGGTAATGCTCGGTTTAAAAGATGATTTTAGGCTCTCTTTCATCTTTTTGAGCTTAAATTGCTTATCACAAATAAAATTCATCCCTAGTTAACCCTTTTGAGCCTATAGACTTTTCTTTGGCACCCACATTACAAGCCTATATCCTTTTTGTTCTTAATTGATATTTTTGATCCTTTTTCCTCTTAAAGCACTTTAATTGAAAAATGAGCGCTAAAAGAAATAAGAAGGAACTAAGTGTGGGGTGGCTTTTGAGTGGAACCAATGAAAAAAAAAGAAGGGTGCACTTATTTTTGTAAAAAAAAAAAATACACCACTAGTGAAAATTTAAAAAAAAAATAGAGATGAATACATTGTTGTCTTGTTCCTGCTAGTGGGTATGAATTAATGTAGTGCTTAAAGAAGAAGGGAGCATTTTTGGGGTGATATTGTTTGTGAAAGTGAAGTGGATTGAAGAATTTGCACTCAAAGTGACTATCTGATGTGTTAAAGTGCTTAGGAGGGTGAACCAGTATTCCTAAATATATCCTACCCGTCCCTTAGCCCACATTACAACCATGAAAAAAAGTCCTAATTGATTTTAGATCGAGTAAGCCTACATTAGTAGAGATTTAAATTAAGGGCAAGATTATGGTACCAATTGCATGCATGTGACTTATTTTGTGATTGTGAGTGATTTTTCTTTGACATATGTAAGCATGAAAATTCGATTGTGTGGATTGATCTATATATTTATGCTGTGAATGAGAGGGCATGTGATTCGTGAATGAAAGGAAAGTCTTGACCTCTGTGTAGAGTATGTTGAGGAAGTATGAATATTGCATGGCACTTGAGTGTCGACCTTTGAGACTAGGATGGTTCACTGCTAGGCGTAAGGTATATAAATTGTTCTGGGTGTAATGCGTTAGGGGAAATGGTTGAGTGAAGGAATCTCTAGAGAGTAGAGTTTGATTACTCGAGGACTAGCAATGAATTAAGTGTGGGGTGTTGATAATAGGCTAAATCTAGGTGATTTAGCTATTGTGTATGCTTCCGCTTGATTATATTCTAATGTCATAATATGGTTAATTGATGAAAAATAGGCTCTAATTGTGAATTGTATACATTGCAGTATGAGACGCTGTCGGTTGAGGCCTCACCGGGCTTTCATAAATCAGTCTCTCAACAATCAGTATTTCTTATGAATAGTAGGGCACTGAGGGAGAACTTATCGACGACAAAAAAGACAAGGTTTCTGTTGGAGGGTCCCTGACGCCCCGAGTCAAATGGAATTGAGCTTATGTGATGCTTTCAAGAGGCTATTGGAATGATTTATGAGCAAGAACGACCCCTCGGAGCTGAGTGCGCGCAAGGACGAGACAGAGAAATGGAAGAAATGATGGCCCAGGTGCGCGAGCAGACGCGCGAACTCATGCGCGAGCTCGCGCGTGTTAGGGGGCTGAGGCAGAATGTTAGAGAAAACGCGCGAAGTTATGCGCGAAGTAGTGCGCGAGCTCGCGCGTTTCCCAGTCCGGAAAAGAATTGTTCAGGAGCAAAATTGGAAATCTGGAGAGAAACCCACTTAACCTATATAAACTCAAGCTCGCCCAAGGTTAATTTATCAAGTTTTTCATAGGCTAGTGCAAGGTATCAAGAGGCAAGAGGCAAGGAGGAGATTTGATCATCAAGTTCTTGTTTTCTTCTCTTTGTTTTTGCTCTTTTTGATGAAATTGAACCCTATTGTGTTAAACATTAGTATGAGTAGCTAAAACCCATTATTCTGGGATCATGGGTTCAACATGTAAGTTGTTGTTTGACTTTTGATTCGACGAAGTTGGTTTGTCATATTGGATTGTTTATTTAATTCTGATTTTAATTATTTTGCTGAGTAGCTAACAGTGAAATACTATCTACGAATCTAGAGTTGAACTCGAAAGTGGGAACTTTAGATTGCATATAGAATTAAATAAAGCAAGTTCTTGAACACGGGCCTCGGGGAACGGATTCGCAATTGGGATAGACATATACCCAATCGCCTTGCTTGGTTGGAATACAGGAATTGTAAATGCGTTCTTGTTAATCTTAATTCCATAGACATATAGGCATTGAGTTAGCTTGAATAGGCGAGTAAGAACTCGACAAATTCTTATGAGTAATATAAACCCTGTCAATCAACAATCCAGATAAATCAATTAGTCATTTTAAGCCAAGAACACAACACGATTGTTAACTAGCCTGTGACC